CAAGAAACCAAATTTCTTTTTTGTTTCCTTCTGAGCAGCCTGTCACCCTCCCAGGAGATAAATATGGGAGCAGAGGAGCAAATCCATGCGGGACATGGGTGCTGTGGAGGGCTCAGCGACGATCGTTACCCATATGCAAAAAAAAAATCCCTTAAAATAATTTTTATAAAGACCTGAGGAAGCTTCAAGTAAAATAAGTCTGAATATCTGGACTTGGTTAAAAGCTGAGAATCGTGTCTATAAATATTTATGAGGGGGAACAGGCAGAGGCATCTCGGGAGGCTCCGCGTCAATCAAAGCACCCGGAACACGAATCGGAGGCGATTTAAAATTCACCAAAAGGTGGATGGCTGAGGATGAATCTTACATGGGAAGGGAGTGAGGGCAGGAAAAAAGCAACAGGGTTTGGGAAAGGGCTTTTTTGTGTGTGTGTGTGTGTGTGTGTGTGTGTGTGTGATTCCTCGTGGTTTTGCAGAGAAGTGTTGTGGCGTCGCTCGTGCGAAGACGTGCGAGGTGACGGGAGCGGCTCCGGCACGGAGAGAGTCGACTCAGGGCTCCTTGGAACGGAGGGAAAAGGAGGGAAACGGGCTGGAAACGGGAGGCAGAGGGTTGTGAATCGGTCAGGCTGGTTTGTTGTGTGGCGCTGTGGCTGAGGGAAGAAAAGAATCGGGGTTTTTTTTGGTTTGGTGTCAATAAGGGATAAAAGGGAAGTCGAGGAACGTGAATGTGAGGGCTGAGAGTAAACACTCAAAGGATGTCCCAAAGATGGGTAGGGACACCTTCCACTAGCCCAGGTTGCTCCAACCTGGCCTTGGACACTTCCAGGGATCCAGAGGTAGCCACAGCTTCTCTGGGAATTCCATCCCAGCCCCTCCCCACCCTCCCAGACAGCAATTCCTTCCCAATATCCCATCTAGCCCTGCCCTCTGGCACTGGGAAACCATTCCCTGTGTCCTGTCCCTCCAGGCCTTGTCCCCAGTCCCTCTCCAGCTCTCCTGGAGCCCCTTCAGGCCCTGGAAGGGGCTCTCAAGTCTCCCTGGAACCTTCTCTTCTCCAGGTGAACATTCTCAGCTCTCCCAGCCTGGCTCCAGAGCAGAGGGGCTCCAGCCCTGGGAGCATCATCGGGGCCTCCTCTGGACTCTCTCCATCAACTCCACGTCCTCCTGCTGTTGTTCCCAGGGCTGGAGGCAGCTCTGCAGGGGGCTCTTCCCGCTGTGGGATCAGCCCAGGGCACGAGGGGGTCTGGGATGGGGCATCTCCAGCATCTCACCCACCAACACCCCCGAGTCCTTCTCCTCAAGACTCCTCTGAATAAATCCATGTTTTAGTGGCTCTGTACAACTCGACCCTTTTGTACCACATCTGCTCCCAAAAATCAAACTGCACCAAGGTTTTAGAGAAAAACTCCCGTGGCTGAGCTCTCACCTCGAAACAGTTGGGGATTCGGAATTTTGGAAAAGAGAGGAGATAGTGTAAAATAAACCGAAGGCCACAGGATTTGTGTGGTGGGGGATGTGTCGAGAGAGACAGTTTTCCACGGTTTTTTCTTTTCCAAGGAGGCAGCGCTTGCTTGGACAGGGATTGGCCACCGCGTGCCTGCTCTGCTGAGGGAGCAGGTTTTGAAAAGAGCAACTAAACAAACGCCGGGCTGGGGGAAACGCTGCAAATCCCAGCTGTGTTCCCTCAAAAGGAGGAGAGACGGCTCCTTGATGAGCCCGCCTTTTGTCCTAAACTTTCCTCTGTTCCCGGATGAATACGGGGAGGATCCTTCCAGTCCTAACGACCCTTTTCTGGGAATGTGAAATTACCAGCTCTCATTAATGCCGGGCTCCATCGCTCATCAAAGCCCTCCTTGTGCCTCACGCTGGCTCCTTTTCTCTCCCCCCTCTTAATCTTCCTCTCATTATAACCAAGTGTCTGCCCTTTGGACCCATCCAGCTTCCAAGGAGTTGGCACCTGCCGAGATCTCATTTGGGAAGGACTTGTTAACTCTTGAAGAGTCGGAATGCTGAGATGTGGGAGAAACAACCCGGTTGGCACAAGGAGGGTGCTCTAAATACCCCGAGGGGGCAAAGAGCGGGAGAAAAGGGAATTCTTTGTGCCCCGGGCTGGGCTTTATCCTGATAAAATCCAAGGCAACAGGTCCCTGCAAATGCACTTGATGGTTTATTCCTTATGAGGGTTTTCTGTGGCTTGGGAGATTTCTCCCGAGGGGATGCGCTTTTCCACTTGTACCTGGAATGCTCAGGAATAAAGATTTCCAAATAAAACCGTGAAATTAGACCCGGCTTAGGGGACAAAGGCTTTTGACAGGAACGTGCAAACTGGTTCTCCAGATGCTGCTGATAGTTCTGTAGCCGCCTTTTATCTCAAGGACCAAAGCACTTTGCAAACGAGGGGGGGGATTACAGAAGTGCTTGCGCTGATCGGTGTTTTAGCCAAATAAATACTGTTTGTGAAAAGGAATTTTCAAAAGGGCTTTCAGAGCTACCTGTCCCCGCCTCGGCATCTTTATTCAGGGACTCGAAGCTCTTCTCTGTCTCGGTGGGGGATGCAGATTTACTGATGTGCTTTTCAGTTGAAATCCAAGTTCCCATAAGGCAGATTAGCAGCCAGAAAATTCCCTCTTTGGAAGGGAAAAAAAAAAACCACAGAGTTTGAAAGTTGTTTTAAAGCCTATTCTGTAATAAATGAGCCAGTTGAGAAGATGTATCAGGTGGAAAAAAAAAAAATTTAAAAAATCATTGGAAATGACTGGATCTGTGTTGTTCTGAGCACCCCACCCATCCTGCCAAGCACTTGAGTTCCCGTGCTCGTCCTTTCCGCTCTGAATCCATCTGGTCCTGCCTTAAATTCTGTTTCTTTAGTGAAATCCAGAGGGATCACAGGTCTTTTGTCATTATGCAGTGACAGGCGGGCTCGTGTTCTGATGAACATCTCGACTCCTGGCTATTGATAAGGTTTTAATGACTTCATTAAAAAGCCCATTATTTCTCATGTAGTATTTGCCAGGGCCCTGTCAATAGTTGGATAGTGAGAGTTAGAGCTGATATGTGTCCCAATAGTTGTCACAGAAGGTTGGCTTGGAGAGATGTAGGAAAGTTCTGCGGGATGGAGGCTATTTAGGGTGTCCATTAATCACCTCTAAACACAAGAAGACAAGGATTTGAGAGGCCACTGGAGTTGCTCAGTCATTGAGCCACCCAAGTACAGGAACACTTTTATCAACACTTGGTTTTGCTTTGTCCTCCCACTGAAAAAACAACCCAGGACTTCACTGCTTTGACATTTATAGATGTTACTTCAATATCCCATCTGGATTTTACATCGTTTTAATGTTTTAATACAATCTCTAAATAATTTCTTCTCCTCTCCTGTGGTTACTCCCTGGATCTTTTAATTCCATTAATCATTTGTTTCTCATGAGATGTGCTGATGTTTCTCCTGGCGTCTCCACAGCCTTTCTGTCTCTGTTTCTTCTCATTTCGAGTTCTCATTCCAGATGGTGTCTCGCTAGTTCCTGAAATATTCATAGAATTCCTCTCCTGGCCTTACTGGAAATAGTCTTGGATCGTGTTTGCCTTTATGACTCATGATCTGGGTGGCCCCAGGACCTTCTGTGATTGATGGACACACCTGAATTTGTCTTTTAAAATTGCAACTCACACAGTCTCTACCTCCTGGCAAATATTACTAGTACCTGAATGCACTGGAATGTGCAGGATCCAATGGTGTTCCCTTCTTCCTGTGGCCCAGAGTATCCCATTGGTCACAACTTCCATCTCTGGTTTCATCAGCACATTTAACTTCTGTGCAGTTCTGATCAAAGAATTAGTAGGAATATCTCCTTAACTCATCCTTGTGGATTTTGATTGGTAACCTTTCTGCAGTCCAGGAGTTGTTCTTTCAGCAGAAGTCCTCCCTTTTTTATCCCTTTGATCCATTAACCTGCACAGCCGTGTTACCAATTCCCACCTTCTCCATCCTGGTGGTTCCTTCAGCACTCTGTACTTTTATTATCACACACACACACACACACACACACTTTTATTATAAGTATTCATTAAATGTATCATTTAAGAAATTTGGTTCAGGTGCCAGACAAACTGTGGCTGCTCCATCCCTGGAAGCATCCAAGGCCAGGTTGGAGCAACCTGGGATAGTGGGAGGTGTCCCTGCCCGTGGCAGGGGGTGGAACAAGATGATCTTTAAGGTCCCTTCAACCCAAACCCCCCTGTGATTCCGATGGATCACATCCATGGAAGTCTTTAAGGCAAGTTCACCACTAAAATTCTGAGTATTCACCTGATTTTTCCCTCTCCTGGGCGACCAACACCTCGTGAGCTCTGTGCAAGTCCTTAAATCCCCCTTCATCCTTGCCTCCTCATTCCATGGGTTTTCCTTTCCCTCTTCCCCCCATGCAGAGCAGGGGATGGGAGCACGAGGCACCAATCTGCCTCCCTGAGCACCAGGGCCCTGCTGCCGGATTTTTGGGCTCCGTTCGCCTTCCCGGGCGGAGCCAAATCCCGTTTTCCAGGGGGACAAAGCTGCTTCCCA